GTCGTAAGCATGGACACCGGAAGGCCAAACGATCCCTCTCCTGACCAGCCTCGCCTCGAAGCCGACGGCTGTGAGATGCCTACGGGACGAACGGAGCTGACATCGATGGACGTCAGTACCACTGACGCGGACTCGCCGCGCGCACTGCTGCGCAAACGAGACTTGGATTACCGAATCCAACTTCACGCAAACTCACCCGAGCAACGCGAACCTGAAAAGCGCAGCCGCGCTGAACAAGGGGGCCCCGATGCCTTCCTTGTCGAAGAATCGATCGACGACCTGTTCTATTCGGACTCCACCTCGGGTCACGGAATGGATCACTCGATCGACGACAGCGAGGAACCTCTTGAACCTCGAAGTCCTTCGGAGGAAGTCGAGACCCTGCAACCAGACGACGGGGCAAGCACACCCGCACTCTCGGCGCAAGACCAAGTCTTCGACGAGACTCACAACTTCGACTTGGATGAAAAATCGGCCTCTGTAGCGACATCAACCTCGATTTCCGGGCATGATTCGGGCAAGAATTTCCGATTGGAAACTGCGTTCGAGCCTGGATTGATGAAGCCTACGAGCCCAGACATGGAATTGTCGACCGCTTCCGACTCCTTACTTGTACCTTCGAACACAAGGGCCATTGTCCGTCGTCCAGCCGAAGAACTTTCTGGCCACGAGATGCAGCTCGTCGCCCGTACTGGGACTCTCGCGGTCTACCACCCTACCACACTGACTCCTTTTGTACCGCATACAAGTACCTTGAATTGTGGAGGGGTCGGTCTGTTGGAGGCGCAGGGCGTCGAGGACCGTGCTCTAGCGAGAGTAGTGCCCTTCGACCACCCCCATGGGAGCCAACATTTGACGCTCAGCCTGGAGGCACCGACTGCCTTGCCAATTGTCCTGACCGACCTGGCTCTCACGACGCCTGACTCACGAGCTGACCTTGACTTGAGCAGTGGTTTTATGGGAAGCGTGGCCGGCTTTGAGGCTTCGCATTCCCCACCTGCTCTTGCTCGGGAAGCTAGTCCGAGCAACCAAATTGTTGCGGTCACTGATCGAGCCCGAGAGAGACAGCGAGCGTGCTTTGGATTTACTTGTTGGCGTTCCTACTGACGACGTCAACATGGGTCCAATCAAGGAATGGCGACACCACGCCCTGACGAATTGTGGAACGGACGAGATGGAAGTTGAGGAAGAGCAAACGACGTCTCCGTTGACCACCATTATGCCGGAATTATCCGACCGAATCTAGCCGTTACAAAACTGGACCATGATGCACGAGCACGAAATCTCAAACCTCGCTCGCGAAACCACCGACCAACTTTCGACATTGCGTGCCTCGACTGTTGACCATGACAACAGACTTGTGGAATTGGCGCGTCACTTGCCGGACACTGACCTCATGACGGTGGGCTTATCGAACTCAATTCGTCTGATTTCGGAAAGGACGAGCCTGTTGAACGACGATCTACACACTACCCGTTCGGAATTCCCCGTGCAGTTATCGAACTTGCACAAGGAGGTGTTTCAACTTCGCCAGCAATATCCCGAGGCCGCTAGCCTGACTTCGCAGTTGTGTCAGGAAATTCAACTACTTCGGGGACCGCGAAACGCCGCGCGATCTGGTTGAAACTGCGGTGAACTTACAGAAGATAGCAATTTCCGATTTGGCGCACTCCTTGCACCCACAACTCGAGAGCGGACTCCGAGCCCAGGAAGCTCACATCTCGACTACACTTTCGAGCCTCTGCGATCGCGTCGAATCACTCAGACGCGACCTCAACCAAAGCGATTCAAACTAAAAGTTACACGTCGACTAATCCCGCCGACACATTGCTGCCCTCCAGGAGTCGAATACCCTACTCCAAGAGCTTGTTACTGCTCTCTCGATTGAGAAGGGGTTACTCCATGACCGAATCCAACCGCTCGAGACACGAATCGAACAGCAACTACTCGACTTTGCTGCCTGACTCGACAAACTCGAATCGAAAGCCTCACGTGCGGACATTGCCCGATCCACACCAGCGACCTGTCCCCAACCTGAACAAGAAGACCTTCCGACCCTCATCGCGGAACTCAAGACAGCCATGTCTAAGATGACGTATGAGCTCGAGGTCGTTAAGGACGCGGTACTGGCCTTCGAACACTCGAAATTGTTTGGACTCGCCGTGAAGTACACCTCAGTTCCCACGTCCGACGAACAAGCTCAATACGAATTCTTCATCAAGCAACTCCTGGACCAAGCAACTCGTTGCCAACTAGATGATGAAGAACACAAACTCCTCCTGGGGCTCAAGCTCAGCGCTGACAAGACCCGCCCAAATCTGAAAAGTGGTGGATTTCCTACTCCAAGACCAATAACGGTGATGTTTGGAGCGAGATCTCGGCCGACTTTATGGACCAATTCTGTTGCCGCACGACACGCGAGATGGTCGATCATCTCTTTGAAGAGTCCGATCGATATGAAGGCGAATCTGCACGGGCGTAAGCCATTCGACTCCAGACTATCTTGGACGAGATCGACATCCCGGCTCTGCAAGGCGTGACGATCTTCCAACGAGGCGTACGACATCCTCGAGTCGAAGCCTGCCTGGAAAACACCGACAAAGAACTCCTGTCGATATCGGATTGCATGAAGCTACTTCGATCGCGACAAATCCGCCTGGACAACCCGCCGAATTTCCCGCGCATGGTGCGATCGGAGTCGGCCTCGACCACGGCGTCCGCACATTCTTCGTCGCGCACTCCCCCTCGGTCGCTGAACACCCACTGTCGTGGATCCAAGGTTGGATTTGAGGATCCGTCTACTCTCGAAAAGCTCCTTGCGGCCTACCGTATTTGTCGTACTCCTGCACCATGAAAAATGTCGGATATAAGATCAGGTTTTTGGTGCAAGACAACGACAAAACCAATTCTGGGATGTCATGGGTGGCAATCTGCGATTGGATAGAAATACTACTAATGTTTGAAATCCAAACTTCCCGCTCAGTCTTTGTTTGGTCACTTCGTGCGAGCTTGTGGATGCCTCGCACTAACCGCAAAAGACGGCACCTCACCGTCACGAAAAAACTCGACGTGGTGAAACAGCACCTTCGCGACGGCACCAGCGTCTACATACTCGCTAAGAAGTACGGCGTGCAAGGCAACCAAGTACTCCGCTGGGTCCGCGACCACGAGAAGCTGAAGGCTGCCGTGGCGCGGTCGCCCGGTCTCAGTTCCGCGCATACTGGCCGTGCAGTTGCCCGCTCTGACGTGGAAGCACAAGTTCTTGAGTATTTTGAGTATCTACGTGAACACGACGTTGCCATTAGTACGATGATGCTGGTACTCAAGGCTCGAAACATTGAACCTGATTTTCATGGCGGTAAAACCAAGGCACGCACATCTTGGGTGTACCAGTTCCTGCGCCGAAACAAGTTGAGCATCCGTCGTCCGACGCGCGAAGGGCAGAAGCTGTCTTCCACCTTGGCCACGACGCGAAACGACTTTGTGGCCTCGGTGTGCGAAAGCTTTTTGCCATTTGGTACATTGGAAGGCCTCGATTGGGACCATGTCGTCAACATGGACGAACGCCGGTCTACTTTGAGCCAAACATTCACACCACTGTCGCCCGCAGAGGCTCCAAGACGGTGTCCGTGCGTACCTGCTCGTCAAACAACCCGCGTATCACCGCATGCTTGGCCGTGACGGTTTCGGGACGAAAGCTGCCACCGTTTGTTGTGTTCAAGGGGGTCCCCGGCGCTCGCATTGAGGCCGCGTTGCCGGCTATTTTGCCTGACGGTGTGTTTGCAACATGCCAAAAAGCTGCATGGATGGACGAAAAATCCACTGAGTTGTGGGTGAAAAAAGTTTGGAAGCAATTTGCCCAGGGCTCCGACTCGTCGCTATTAATTCTGGACGACTACAAGTGCCACAAGCAATCGAAATTCACGAATATGATCTCGGATCAAGGAACGGAGCTCGAAATTATTCCTGGTGATTAGCTATTATTTGCTTGGAATATTTCTCTGACGATGTGAAACTGTCCTAACTGATAGGTGGTTTCACCTGTGTCTTGCAGCCACTTGACGTCGGGATTAACAAACCTTTCAAGGATCGAGTGCGTCATTTATACATGATGTGGGCCTCGGAAAACATGCCAGGTAACACTGTTGTACCATCTCCATCACGTGAAATTGTGTTGGAGTGGGTCATCACAGCCTGGAACGAAATTTCGGAAGAAACAATCATGAATGCATGGCGCAAATGTGGCTATGTTACTGTAGTTAAAGATGCAAATGCACAAATGTTCCATTAATGACTTATTGTCCCTGATAAAAGGTCTCAATATGATCTACCAGCACACATTTAACTAACCCCATTACTCTCGCTGAGCGATCGCGCTTTGCTTTGCTTGTCGATGTCCTGTAGTCCTCAACAACAATGGCTGCTTTGTTGTTGAACT